CTCCAACAATTTACTATTATAAAACGGGTTAATTTCACAAATGGTCACTGAACTTTAGAAATTACAAAACGGTCACTGAAATAGTAACGGTCACTCAAGTTTCCAGGCGCTTTCAAAAATGGTCACTCAAGTTTAAAAACTTTCAGAAATGGTCACTAAAATTTCAGTTCTTTGGGCTACTTTTGCTGCAATTTTTCAACCACTTCCGATCACAAATATCGTCAAATTTTGATACCGATGGAAACACCACAATGTCCTCTTCAATTACCACCCAAAATCTCCCCATAATTCCAAGGGATTTGAACAGAAAATCATTGCAAAATTTGCCCAAAAAATCGAAAAATTTGTCCAGATTTTAAGATTTTTTGGGCCAATTTTGAGGCGATTTTTCGACGACTTCCGACCACCAAAATTGCTGGATTTTGATATTGTTGAAAAGCCCACAATGTTCTCTTAAATTACCATCCAATATATCCCCAAAACTCCAATGGATTTGGCCGGAATAAACCCACAAAGTTGGCTATCCAAAAAGGCAAAAATGTGGGATGATTTTTTAGGCTACTTTTGAGGCAATTTTCCGACCACCAATGTCACTGGATTTTAATACCGTTGCAAAGTTTACAATGTCCTCTTCAATTATCATCAAAAATCTCCCCCAAACTCCAGAGGATTCAGTCGAAATAAACCCACAAATTTGGCTACCCGAAAAGGTGAAAATCTAGGTAGATTTTTCAGATTTTATGAGCTACTTTGAGACAACTTTCCAGCAACTTCCGGCCACCAATACTATCGGATTTTGAATCTGTTGGAAAGCCTACAATGTCCTCTTCAATTACCATGAAAAATCTTCACGAAAATCCAAAGGATTCGGCCGGAATAAACCCACAAATTTAGCTACCCGGAAACGCAAAAATCTGGACAAATTTTTCGACAACTTTCTGGCAACTTCCGACCATCAATTTTGCCGGATTTTGATACCGTTGGAAAGCCTACGATCTCCTTTTCAATTATCACTCAAAATTAGCCGGTTTGGTTGTCGAAATTCACAAGAAAATCGCTGCAAAAATCGCCAAAAATATGAAGATTTTGGCAGATTTTCAGATTTTTTTAGTGATTTTTCTGTCGAATTCCTTGGAGTTACGGGGAGATTTTGGATAGTAATGGAAGAGGACATTGTAGACTTTTTAACGGTATCAAAATTTGGTAGTATCGATTGTCAAAAATGATAGAAAAGTTATCACAAAAGTAGCCCAAAAAACTGGAAAAAAAACTTCAGTGGGCGTTTCTGAAAGTTTTTAAACTTCAGTGACCATTTTTAAAGCACTCCAAAACTTTAGTGACCGTTACTGAAAGTTTTAAACTTCAGTGACCGTTTTGTAATTTTCTCTATAGTTCAGTGACCATTTGTGAAATTAACCCATTATAAAACTCATTTTAATTATATAGTGGACAAGAAGTAGGCGCTTAATATTAAAATTTGGTTTCATTTTTCAAAAATATTTTTTTTTTCACGCTCATTTTTAATTAAAGCATCTTCAAAAAAAATAAAATTTACTTTTCACATTTTTTTTGATTACTTTTATTTTTTAATCACTAGTTCTTCGAAAAAAATTTACTTGTTATAAGATTACATCTAAAAAAATTAACTTCGCCAAAGGGCTTAAATAATTTGTTAAAATTAATAATTCAATATTAGAAAAGTTACCAGACGATAAATTTCTCTCTTTGTGTTTTACAAAAATTGAGTTTGAAGATCATCTTGAGCTAGAAGTGATTATTGAAAATTACTTTTTTTTCATACTCACTTTTAATCACATATTCTTCAAAAATTATTTTTCACATTTATTAATAACTCTTTCCTAATTTTTAATCATATGTTATCCATAAAAATCATTTTTCAAGTAATCACTTTAAAACAATCCTTAAATACTAATTTGATCGATGATGTCATATATCATCAAAACCATGTGGAACTACAAAAATATGACAATCAGGATCTTTTATTAAATGGATTCCTATTCGAAATGTCTAAAACCTAAACTCGCTATTCAATTCTTGAGACCTAAACTTGCTATTCAACTCCTTGCCAACCTTTTCCAATCGATGAGGATGATTGTTCCTCGCCTATCATTTGCAAGATGTGAGGAACTTCACAAACTTTTTAATCGACGTTATTTAATGTTTGTTTATGGAAGTTACTTGACCGAGATGTCTAGAACTTAAACTCGCTATTCAGCTCCTTGCCAACCTTTTCCAATCGATAAGGATGATTGTTCCTCGCCTATCATTTGCAATATGTGAGGAACTTCACTTCACAAACTTTTTAATCGACATTATTTAATGTTTGTTTATTGAAGTTACCTGATTTATTCAGTGTTTGCTTTGAGTGGTATGATCCTTTGCTGTACTTGTGGTTGCTTTGCATGGTGTGACACTCTCAATTAACTTCACATTCAATTTTCAACTTCTCCAATGCACCTCTCAATTAACTGATAAATGCACCAACACTCCTTCGAATTAAAATAATATACAGTTACTAACCAAAGGTGCTATTATAAATTTACATTTCTCATTTTTACTACTTTATTTTGGCAACGATCAACAAATTTGAAGATTTATTGAAGTGAATTTAATAACAATTACATCAACCTTTCAGATAGAAATAATTACATTTTAAGTACTCCTTACCTAACCATGGATTTGAAGTTATACTGATTGAATTTAATAAAAACTTATGTTAACCTTTTCCATAAAAAATAATTAATAACCAAAGGCTACTATAAATTGACACTTCTCACTTTACACCTTAATCTAACAAAGGACTTGGACAGATGAATCACATTTGAAGTACCTCTTTCCGACGCTAAGCGCAAAAGGCACCCGAAGGAATAGTGGGACCAACAATCACTACCATTGGGCTATAGTGGTAAATCCTGCCGTGTTATACTCCTATTTTCCCTCACGTGTCAACAAACAAGTTGAGTGCTATCGATAGGACTCTGTTGAAAGTCTTGACGTTGGTTGATTAAAAAAGGCTACCTTGTCTCAGCAAAACTTGTATTTCTTGATTTAGTCAAAAAGAGACTTTCACAAGTTCAATAAGTCTTTTACTATACTAATGGGGTGTTCACCGTCAAATGCGTGAATTTGCCTTTTTAGACATTCTTTGTCAACAAGAGCCTATCTTGGCCTTCAATCTCTACTTGGTAGCGGCTTCGAGGCTAAACATTTCATGGGATTTAATAAAAAGTTGTGTTAACCTCTCCTATTATTAATTGTTCCATTTTATTTTGTCATGTATTGTCTCGTCTCATCTAATCACTCATCAAATACTACTACAAATTCATATATTGTGTATGAGAACACCTTTTCCATTTCCCCAAATTTTTTTTTATTTTTTTTATTTTTGTTGTGTATTTTAAGTTGTTCCATTGTTACTTTATTTTATTTTATGAAAATAATATATCTTGCAAATCTCAGATTCTTTTGGCTCAAAGTAAATTTATATTTTTTCATAATGTCTTCGCACCTTTTTAAGATGTTTCGCATGACTTCATTAGTTTGTTGGAAAAGGACTAATTAAACGCCACGATGCACTTTACAGTTCAAACTTTTGTTCTTAAGGAACTGACAATTTTATATTAATCGACATGTAAAGTGATAGATTTTTAACACGGTCGAGTTGAGAATATATTTTTCAGAACTTTAAATAAATGAAGTTAGGGTGAATTTATTAATGGACAAAAATATTTTTGTATTTGTCATTTAATTGAGGACATTTTTACATCCAGTCGATGAGGCTCATTGTTCCTCACTGACCACTTTCAGTCGATGGAAGAATTCTCACCGACTAGCCCCCCATGGCACATCCCAATTGGTAAAGATGAGGGCGCTTCAAAGCTGCCGATCAGAGGTCGTGAGTTCAATTCCTGGAAGACTCTTGGAAGGCAGATATTCTCCTGAAAGGCAGGATTTATCCTAAAAGGCGGGAACTCTACTGGAAGACAATGTGTAAAGATGGGAAATACGACTTGCTTGACACTTTGGCAAATCAGTTGGGGGGGCTTTTGAGCACTGGTCAGTTTGGGGCACAACCTACGGTTTAACCTGTCTGCAGCTTGAGGGGCCAAGGTGTAGACTCCAGGATTTAGTTACTGTAAGGTGGATATCAAAAAAAAAAAGAAAAGGAAGAATTCTCACCGACTAGAAGTGGTCAATGAGGAACAATCCCCACAAACATTGGTGATTGTTCTTTACAAACCTCTTCCAGTCGATGAGGAGCCATTCTCATCGACTAGAATAGTCCTCACTGACTAGAAGTGAGAGGTGAGGAACAATCCCATCGACAATGACCCTTTTTCCTTATCACTCCCTTGTGGTCAGTGATGATTGTCTCCCACCAATCATTTACAGTCCGAGGAATTTCATTGTTGACTCTACTTAATCAACACAGTCAGTGATGATAATTTTTCACTGACCCTTGCAGTCTGTGAAGAACTTCATTATAGATTTTATTTAGACATTGTTTATAATTTGATTATTTAAGTTACTAAATGTATTTCACATACTTCAAATGTATCACACACTTTAAAAGTGGTTTAATTCTTAGATTAAAATGGGTGATAGATAATACTCATAGATTCATCGAAATATGTAATTAAAAATTATTTATAAATGAAATAGGCATAGTTTGGAAATAATATTATTTAATAAAGAGGAAATAAAAGGGTTCTAAAGCATCCAAAATGGAGTAATATATGACAAATTTTATTACTGATTTAGAAATGATATCCACAATAATATCATCCGTATTTGTTTCTTAATTATGTTTAATTTAACGTGTCAAACATATTCGTCAATTATTTAAATATTTCAGTACCTGTCAATGAGTTAAAAGTTGAATTATTATCAATTCTTACAAGAGAGTGATTGTAAAAGTAAATTTATATTATTTTAGTTCTTCAATTCCATTTTTATTACATCATTTTGACTCAAATGCATATTCTGAAATTCTTAAACTAAGATGATGTTTCTATTAGTTACAATAGCAAAACATAAAACAGGAAACAACCTTAATCTTTGTTGAAAATGTCAAAAATCCATGATTGAGCTGCTCAATGCACAAACAAACCGAAATATTGTACTATGAGCAAAAGTAAATCCTTGCGTCTCAATGGCGACATCTAATCCAGAGTTGCTCCATATGAAAGCAGTCGACAAAGCTCGCATACATTTGTTGAACCGTAACTTGTCATCTATTGTAGGCACGGGCTTTAGCCCGTCCCCGTCAACTGAAACTTTTCTAACATGAGCCTGCAACCTCAAAAACAACTGCCTGCAACATCAAAAACAAGAAGACTACTTTTCATTTATTCTAACTATGGGAGGTCCCTTTTACTTTCACCACTATTCGGCTTATGCTGGGAGCCAGGAGTACTTGGCACAGGCTCACTCGTCTTCCCTTCAGTCGAGGTTCTAGTGTTTACTTCGGAACTCTTGCCTGCTTCTTGTCCACGTTGAATTTTACTTGCTTCGATTTGTGCATCATCTGATTGTTTCTTGGATACAATGACAATTTCTTTTACTGTTTCTTCCAGCTTGTTTAGTCTCTCTTTTACCTCCCTAAGCACTGGATCAGCTGCTCCTTCTTCGGCTTTCTTTAATTCCATCTCCTTTGCTTGTGATTCAAATTCAGCTTGTTTCTTCAACTCGAGTTCCTGACAACATAATTTAAAAGGGAACCTTAACAAAAGCCAATATACGAAACAAATCACACGGCTTGTAGCTCTATTGTAATGATAACTAACATAAAATCCAAACAAGATTTTACATTTGACAGCTATCAAGATGAAGAAAAAATGGCTGTCCTCTTCAAAACAATCTTTGAAACCCTGTTAATTTACTCAAATAAATGCATTAAAGTATCCTTGTTGAAAAACCAATATTAGGACAAGGCCGTGGGGGTGCATAGCACAATTTGCATTGACCACAACCTTAAGATATGTCAAACATGATTGATTTGTTCAGCAGTCATGTACAAAAATGTTGAATGCCCATTTCCATACATTATATGTCTTGAATTGAACACAAGTTCCCCATAGACATAAAGAAAATGGGTAAAAAGATATCGATATTTTGCCGTACCCTACATACCCAAGCTTTCAGTGAATCCAGATTTTGGATACTAATTTGACCAGAAAACCTAACTCCAAACAAAACAGGTGTAGAAAGGTCACCACTACAAAAAAGTATCAAAAGGGATACATGCAAATATCTGTCTATGTAAATCCAGAAATACTAAAAGCCTGCCTACAACAGAGACAATATGGGAATTCACGTGCTTCTTAATACGAGGAGAGTCTAATTTCACAGAAGCACGCCCTTAATATACCTTTTTGGTCATTCATATTGTGCTAGTTAAGATCTGTCTAGAAAACCGAATTTGACAAAACTATACAAGTCACTTGAATGGGATTTCGGATGTTCTGTAAGATCACCCAAACAAAAGGGAAGGTCGGGATTGGTAAGCTAGAGTAAACAATTTTAGCCATCATAAATATGAAACTAGTGTGTTACTTGTCACAATAAAATGGAACATATAGGACAGTAAAATATCTTTGCTAACAAGATAAAGATTGATATGAACTCTTTGTTAAGAACTTTGCAACGATAACTAGGTAAGGTCATTCTAAGTCCCAAATGTAAATCAAGTTTGTAAATTTGACATCCACTTTTCTACTATTATCAGATAAAAGGATATCAAATTGTCTAAAAGTTTATTTGCACGGCTTATAGGCAACCTTATATTGTTTTATATAAGCATATAGATACCCTTCCCATGGTACATGGATAGAGTTTGCCCTGGCATATTGAAAACAACGTGCCATTATCCATATGGACCAAAAATTTGAATATTGTGGATTGATTTTCATCCCCAGACTGACAAGTTTTGATATCATATTTATGTTCATAATTAAAAAAGGGGGGAAAGAAAGAAAAAAGATGCAAACACCAAATCAAACTACATTTATATAGAGTAAACTATGAAGGATGATGAACAAAATAAGGATTACCACATCCATTTTTTTCATTTCACTGCGAGCATACTGAGCCACAAGATATACAGCTGCAGAGAAAGATGCATAAATATTCAATGCTTCAGAAATGAAAGCACATAAAAATCAAACTCAATAGCAAATAGACATAACCAAAATGGTCTATGGTCTGAGTTACAAACTCAATAGCCCACATTAAGATTCAGAATGGAGAGACAATACCCAATGAAGGCAAGCAGGCAAAGAAGAGCTGTACCAGGTGGAAATCTAATCTGAAAAATCATCAAACATACAATTAATTCTTTGCTAAAATGAGACTTAATTACAATATCAATCAAAAATGGAGAATGGGTTCACGTTCACTTCGAGAAAACAAAGCATTCTGTATAATGCAGTTTTTTCTCTTTGCTGAAAAGGGGAAATGAAAGTGATAAAATGCCTCTTAGAAAAGTAAAAGCGTACCCAAATTTCTTCTTATTGGGCTGATCAGTGAAGAGGATTTTGGCGGCAGTCATGAAATCCAAATTATTAAGAGCTTTGTATTGCTCATTATACTGACTCAATGATGAAGAAGAAGACTCACTGCCATTGCTAGAAATGGTGGCCGGTTTATTACTGGAATTTTTGTGTGGAGTACTGCAAAAGGTTTGGTTTAAAAAGAGGAGTTGATTCCAAATATATCTTCCACGAAGAAATTTTTTCCTCATCTTCCACTACTAAAAAATATTACCAGAGAGAGAGAGAGAAATGCTGGAGCATCCAACCTATGAAATGAGACAACATCTGACCAAAAATATTACCAAAGAAATGATTGCCAACAACTTCAAATTATTTCTGCAAACAACTATTTCTGCCTCGTACACATTCCATCCCTCCAGACAAATTTATTGATAAATCTCAAATATTATTTAACATCCAACAGCAATTCTATCCCAGACACCTGAGTGTCATATGTATTAACAAAATCTCACATTATCAACCTTGACCTGCAAATGTCATAAGATATTTTATCAATTCCTAGGACCGCAGTAATAATTTTGCATTTTTCTAATCAATGAGTTCCATTCAAAGTAATGGTGGGTTCCTCCAAAATATAGAATAAAACTAATGAATTCCATCAACTCCAATCGCCTTATCCATCTCTCAGTTCAAAGTGACAAATTGAATTTATGCTAAAGAATAATCACTAAAATTATGTGTCCACTCAAAAGGTAGGAAAAACAAAGAATAAAATATTTTAAGTGTAAAATATGGGACACTGAAACACACGAATTTCAAAGTAAAACCCTAAACTAATTTTCAAGTCTGGCACGAGGTCAATTATCCATACTTAATCCAACTTTAAATTCCAGCAACATTGTAAAATCAATTCAAATTTCAGCAAAGAAAAGAAACACTAAAGAATAAAACACACAACGTAATTACTTACAATTGCAGCAAAAGCCCAACACAAAAGGCCTACAAGTTACAATTTAGAAAAAATTAAAAGTTGGCCTAAGAAAAAACTCATCTTCCCTTCCCTTCCATTCTGCGTTCAAGCTTCTAGAGAGTGCAACAATGACGAGTTGGGGGCTGCATCAAAGTCTACCGTTGGAACTGAAATTATTTGCAATTGAATCATTCAGTTTTGTGGACTCCTAATCCTTGCGTTCGTATAGTATTATTTTTTCTGCGAATCGAACTTTGATATTTACACTTAAGATATTCAAAATCTTGCACCCCAAAATGATGCAAATTAAAACAATCAATAATGTGGAGTTCACATCCAAACAGCAAAAATACTACAAAATGAATTGGTATAAATACAATAGTTTCACAGCTAATGACAAAGATTACAAGTATTTATGACTCCATCGGCATCATTAAACGAGTTCATTGAGGGCATAAACTAATGAACTCCTACCTCGGATGGAAAACCTAATGTAGCCAATAAGTCGCAGTCGGGGTTAAAGGAGTCAAAGGTTGGTGCAGTCTGCTGAAATTGATAACATGCGTGTACACCTAACAATTTTACATAAATTTCAAGATATTTCATGTGATGAAGAGATTCTACTTGTCCCCTGAACTAAATTCTTAGAAAAAAATTTCGATAACTTCTTGATCCCGCTTGCTAGATTTATTGGTTGTTAATTTTCCGTCTTAGTGTGAGATAAAGATAAGGATATCTCATCTTAAAAATGAATGAAAGCAAAAAAAAAATTAAAATTAACCCTCCCTTTTGTTTTCCGACGGACCAATCATACTTGCTATGGTAGAATATTCATGTGGGACATTCAGCAAGATCATCCTCTCTTCCCATTGGCCTGATAGTGTCTGAACAACATAAATTTGGTGGACTATATTCAGTTGGAAGAAGTTCTAATTCAGAATCCACTCCAATTCTAGAAGTATCAACTTGATTCGATGTCAATTCCACTCCAGCACTAAAAGAATCATTTTCAGTGATAAACAACTCAACTCTGGTAATACAATGATCGAAGGACAATGAAATTTGTCTAGCCGGCTCAAGTTCATGTATCTCATCAAGCTGAAAATCACAGCAGCAAGATGTTTCCATGGTTGGATTAAAAGAAGACGTCTCTTGAAATACAAACGACTGCATCCAAGAAGAATCATCACTGTTATCAATTTACTTCTGTTGAAATTGCTCGTCTCCTGCTGTGAGTGTACTTTCAATTTCAAACCAAGATGGAGCAGTAGCACAATCAATATAGTTCCATGGCTGCTCCATGTGCAGCTGCTGTTGAAGCTGAGAGAAAGCTTGTTGTGATGACTGAAAGCTAGTTTGTAGAGTTTGTGACAGTATCTAAGCAAACTATGATAGTGCTCGATTAAGAGGTTGAAACAGCTAAGCAAGTATTTGCAGTAGATTTTGCATCACATGTCCTTGTTGTGGGGCAGATGGTGCATTATGCTACATCTGTGGTTGAGAAATTGTTAAATGACTGCCAAAACTAGGAAACTGTTGTGTTTGAGGAGCCTGACCATAAGGAGTATGACCATCATAATGCGGCATATGCTAACTTTGTGTTGTGGAGAAAGATGTTGCATTCAAATGTTGTGGTTACAAGGAAGATGGAAGGTATTGTCCTATTTAAAAACCCTGGGTTTAAATTCAAAAAGGAAATATGTCATATTTAATGATATGATATATAAAAATCAATACCCCATCCAGCTAAAAAAGTTAATAAGACACACACCAGTTGTAACATAGGTTCAGAAGAACCACTAGTCCGAAATCCATACCATCAACATTGTCAGGAAAGCCACCGATATAGCCCTAAAAGTTATGTCCACAAAATAAGATACAAGAAACTTTTGAGTATTGAGAAAAATATGCAGTGCGATGTGTGCATAACATCATAAGTAGTCTGTGCTGTTACTGGAGTAGAAGAGACAATATTCACAGGCAGCTGATTTCCAAACCACGGCATACCAACTGATTTCCTACTGCTCCATCTTGATTTGAAACTAAAAGTACACAGATGATAGGGTTTGGAATGTTGGCATGCCGGGGTTTGGAAATCAATTGCCTGTGGATATTGTGTTTTCTACTCGAGTAAGAGCATAGACTTCTTATGTGTTATATACACATCGTACTGCATATTTTTCTCAATATTCAAATATTTGTGTCTTATTTTGTGCCCATAAACTTTCAGGGCTATATCGGTGGCTTTCCTGGCAATGTTGATGATATGGATTTCAGACCAGTGGTTTCTTCTGAACCTATGCTACAACTGGTATGCGTCTTATTAACTTTTTTAGCTGGATGGGAGATTGATTTTTATATATGTATCTTTAAATCTGAAACATTTCCTTTTTGAATTTAAACCCAAGGTTTTCAATCAGGACAATACCTTTCATTTTCCTTGCATCCACAACCTTTGAATGCAACACCTTTCTATACAACACAGAGTTTGCATATGCCATATTATGTTGGTCATACTCCTTACGATCAGGTTCCACAAACACAATAGCTTCATAGTGTTAGTGGTCAGTTAACAATTCCTCAACCACAGATACAGCATAATGCACCACCTGCCCTACAACAAAGACGTGATGGAAAATCTACTACAAATATATGCTCAGCCGTTTCAACCTCTTAATCAAACACTATCACAGTTTACTCAGATACTATCACAAACTAGCTTTTAGTCATCACAATAAGCCTTCTCTCAGCTTTAACAGCAGCTGCACATGGAACAGCCATGGAACTATATTGATTGTGCTATTGCTCCATCTTGGTTTGAAACTGAAAGTACACTCATGACAAGAGGCGAGCAATTTCAACAGAACTATATTGATAGCAGTGATGATTCTTCTTGGATGCAGTCGCCCTTATTTCAAGAGACGTCTTCTTTTAATCCAACCGTGCAAACACCTTCCTGCTATGATTTTCAACTTGATGAGATATATTGACTTGAGCCGGCTAGACAAATTTCATTGTCCTTCGATCATTGTATTACCGGAGTTCAACTGCTTGCCACTGAAAATAATTCTTTTAGTACTGGAGTGGAATTGACATCAAATCAAGTTGATACTTCTAGTATTGGAGTGGATTCTGAATTATAACTTCCTCCAACTGAATATAGCCTACCAAATTCATGTTGTTTAGGCATTATCATGCTAATGGAAGAAGAGGATGATTTTGATGTTCTTCTACAACAATTTCAGCAGACTGCACCAACCCTTGACTCTTTTAACCCTGATTGCAACTTATTGTCTACGTTAGATTTTCCAAGGTAAGAGTTCACTAGTTTATGCCCTCAATGAACTCGTCCAATCATGCCAATGGAGTCATAGATACTTGTAATCTTTGCCATTAGCTGTGAAACTATTGTATTTTATACCAATTCATTTAGTGTAGTATTTTTGCCGTTTGGATGTGAACTTCACATGTATTATTGATTGTTTTAATTTACATCATTTTGGAGTACAAGATTTTGAATGTGCTTAAACGTAAACATCAAGGTTCGATTTGCAGAAAGAATAGTACTATACGAACGCAAGGATTAGGAGTCCACAAAACTAAATGATTCAATTGCAAACAATCTCAGTTCAGACGGTGGACTTTCCTATTTAACTGGAGTCCGTTTTCGTGCTGTTAATCTGGACCTTTGCAGTCTGAAAAACCAAGTTTCACGGGTAGTGAATTTATGGAATAACAATCTAGAACATTTGTCCTAATTCTAATTAACTTTTAGCACTACTGATACAGCGACTGCATCATAAGACGAACCAAATGATGCAACAGATAAAAATTAGACACCAATTCCATCAGCATCTAAACGAATCTAAATCCATAATCGACATAAAATACTCTGAGGCTTATTGGAACCCTTCTCTAATCTTTCTCTAATGGCACACATCTTTTGTCTCTTCTAGGCAACCATTTATGTGGTTGGCTACAAGAATTGAGCAGTAAAAAACCCATGACAGGTGCATCACCCATGTAAATAAGCACTCTTTCACAGAGACTCACAATCACATGACCCTGACTCAGAGAGAGATGTAAATACCTTAGAAATTTCTACGACTCAATATCTTTCAAAGCTGAAAGCAAAGTAGACCAATATAGTTCAGATTTTCGATGCTTATACTCTAATTGTCATGATTGTTTATGCATTTTTCAATCCTGCTCTTCCTACATAAAGAAGAAAAAAAAAAGAACAATATTTTTAGTTTGTCTGTTTATATTGGTCACATAAAATATGTTTTGGAAAATTTCCCCAATATTTTTAATTTTCCAATAATTAAATTGAAAAATATATTTAGTTTTCCAATACTTAAATTGAAAAGAAACAATTGAGAGAGGAATGAAAGGTCATTTAAAGACCACCTTGAAAATAATATCATTTGTATAATATATTGGTGTTTTTGAATGTTGAAAACATGGCCATTTCTTATATCTGCACAACAGGTTTCTGGCCTGAAAATGAAGAGATGAATTTGTATTCTCAAATGCTCCCATCTGTAGTTATTAATTACTTGATTCTAATATAATATGGATTTCATCATTCTTGTTTCTTTTCATTTTCCTAAGTAGAAAGAAGTCTCCGAGAATAGATACATCCTTGGGTTAAGCAGAGCTGTAAAGGGGTGTAATTCACGTTACCAACTAATAACTACATTAGCCAAGTAATGAGCAGTGAATTCAATTGAAGATGCATTGTCATGTACTTTGTTTTCTTTATTCATAAAGGCTCATGAGATAGCTGACAATTAAGCAGTGTTCCACTGCATCATACTAAGATTTGCATTGGTTCAAGGCTTTTAAACAAGCTTTGCCTCTAAAAATATTTGCACCAAATAATGGGACTTGCGCCTATGCCTATGTATAATTGTCTTTGTTTTGTTTCATCTAACCAGCTTTCGAATTGGACTTATGCCTAACTACGAAAAGTCATTTCCTCGGCTAGTTGCATATTTTTCAACATTCTCACTGAACTCAATGGACTAAAGTCATTATTTAAGCTCTTAACTTTTCAAACTGCTCAATAAGGTGCCCAAATTACTCCTCAGACTCAACTTCCAATTGGACCAAATAAATTCAGTATTAAGCAACAGCTTTACAATTATCGTTTGGCATTAAAAACCATGGAACCTGCATACTTCAAAATTGCATTCTAGAAACTTCATAAAATTTGCATATAAAACTCAAAACTTGATTTTCAGTAACTTATAACCTATTTTTAGCATTTGTCCTTAAGTAATCTTTTTCGAAATTAAATGCATATACTCTGATAAATGTATTTTTAGTCCTTGGAACATTGGTTATTCTCTTATACTGATCTTAAACTTTTCAAACTTCACCTCTAAGTTCCAAATGAAAATATAGAAGCCTTTGGGATGTTACATGAGCTCTAGTATATGGTTCCTTTTTCCCATGATCTATAGAGATAATGTCACTTTTATGAACGTTAATCTCTTTAAATTGATGTGAGACACGAGTCCTCAACCACCTAATCTTTTTTTCCTTAATGTATCATTGGGTAACGTTGCCTCATATGATTGAGTAAATTCAACAATCGTCATCAGAGTTTGTAATTTCAAATTGGTTGTTAAAGTTTTTTTCTATCGTATTTAGTCACAGGCTGGTCGGTGTCCCCAAGGATTACTTGGTTTTTCTAGTACTTATACCTCCAAGGTTTTATTCTTACCCATAGAGACAAATGAAACTCACAAACCACCCTTGTACCATAATGTCATCACAAGCATAGAAGGAACCTCGTTATCAATCCTCACTGCATTCTTTGTTTTGTAGTTTACCCCTCGTATCTAACATATTCAAGAATACAGCAAGACAGTCAACATAATATTATTTTGATTTGAGCAGCATACAAGTTAACTGAGAAAAAGTATAACATCTACATTACCGACTAATTAACGAGAATTTTCAAGCAATGCTACTTTAGGTAAATCTAACAAACGTAATTATAACAAAATCACTTACATATCAAAGAACCCCAAATTGAAAGCGTCAAACCCTAGTCCTGATCTGAAGTAAGAAAGCAAAGATTGCCCAACAGCCGAATTGAGAGAGCGTGAAAATTAGAACTGCAGACATCCGATTTACGGATTTTCTGACTTTTGGGCCGAGGTGGAGATTTGGGGAGAAGACATAAAATTCGGGTCGAACCAAGAAAATGAGCCTTGTTTGAGGTGGGGTGGAACGTGTTTTATTGGAGAATTTTGGTTAAAAAATAGAAAAAGATTTTTAATTTACTTTTTTTTTTTTGGGAAAGAATATGTGATTGAAAATGAGTTAAAAAAAGGAAAAGAAAAAAAAAAAAAAAAAAAAAAAACCCCTTCAAACAAAGACTATACAAATGGAATTTTGAGGTAGAACCGATTCATAAGGTGATCGACCAGTTTTTGGCTTGCTTTGAACAATTTTAGCCCATGTTTGATTCTTATTATTTTAAGAAATATTTTTTTAAAAAAAATTCATTTTCAACCGTATATTCTCAAAATATTTTGCACATAAATTTAAAAAAAATTCCTACTTTTTAATCATACATTCTCCAACAATTTACGATAATAAAACTCATTTTAATGAAATAATGGACAAGAAGTAGGGGCTTAATATTAAAGTTTGGTTTCATTTGTCCAAAATACTTTTCAAGCTTATTTTTAATACGGCTTCTTCAAAATAATTTACATTTCACTTTTTTAATAATTATTTTTATTTTTTAATCCCACATTCTTAAAAAATAATAATAATAATAACTTACTTTTTGTAAAATTACATCTCAAAAAAATCAGCTTCACCAAATGGCCAAAATAATTTGTTAGAAGTAATAATTCAATATTAGAAAAATTATCAAACGATAAATTCTCTCTTTGAGCTATACAAAAATTGAGTTTAAAGTCCATCTTGAGCCCAGTGATTTTTGAAAATAACATTTTTCATACTCATTTTTAATCACGTATTCTTCAAAAATTATTTTTCACATTTATTGATAACTCTTTCATAATTTTTAATCATACGTTGTCCAAAAAATACTTTTTCAAGTAATCACTTTAAAACAATCCCTAAATACTAATTTGGTCAATGATGACATATATCATCAAAAGGATGTCGGAGACCTACAGAAATATGACAATCAGGATCTTTTATTAAATGGATTCCTATTCGAGATGTCTGAAACCTAAACTCGTTATTCAATTATTGATTTGTATATTTTAACAATGATGCTCGAAGAATTTTAAATTCAAAACAATGTTTAAAGTAATTTTACAAGTATAATTTAAATTTAAATGGTCTGTGGAATATTGAAATATTTTATGTAATAATGCAATCAAAATACCATCTTCAAGTGTAGTTCATTTTACCTATTGATATACTAAATTGATTTTAAAAATATTGCCACCCTCTTTATACTATTCACTCAAAATTACGTTAATGTAAATGCTAATATAAACTAATATACATAAGCCAAAAAATAAAAATAAAAAATCATGACATTCATTTTGTTTATTAATCTATCAATCCATGAGATAACCAAAAAAAAAAAAGTAAAGTTCGATTATCAAACAAGTCACCTAAATCTTGAGCGAGTAATATACCTTTGATTGCTAGTTCAAGTTCTTTGAAGTGTCAATAAATGAAGTTTTAAATAAAAGATTGATTTCGACACTTTGGGAATCGGGTTGAAATAATTAGAAATCATATACTTGTGATAGTAGAATCCATTAATCATTGAGATGAGACGATCATTACTCTAAGGTATTTTCTATAGACAAATTGAACTTGAGCTCAGTAGTTCAATGATGAGATCGTTGGACTTTATTATATTGTGATTTGATAAAAACAAATTTGCCTTATAAAAATGAAACTTAGAGAGTAATACATGTTGAAGGGCAAAATGATTATTTTTCTAATTTCAACATATTGACGGTCAAATAGGGTTGACTTTTAGGGTTAGTCACATTTCATTTTCCAAAAAACGGAGACACTTAAAGAAAAACAATGGAAAAGATCTAAGGGAGAAACATTTGGTTAGGTCATTAAAAGCTCTTTCAAGGTTATCATCTTCCCTTTATGTTTGAGAATTGAAAACATCCAATGATCTCAAGGTGATCTGATACCCTTATTCAAATGAGTTTAATCTTCAAAGGAAAATGAATTTCCTATTGTCACTCCTTTGAGATTGCTAGCATGTGGTCATCCAAGACTTAATGGAACTCGACTTTAAGTTGTTCAAGAATAATGACGTTGAATTTCTCGATCATTCGACTAATCGGTGAAAAAATTAAGAAAAAATTGTTTTGCCCTCTGCCATTTTAGCCCTCTATTTACAAAAATACATATTTATATACATTATAAATACATGTGAATCACAATTGCCATGGAAAATGTTATCCGACTGGTAGTCCTATTCAGTCTTCTGTATAGTGTGGAGTGCAAGTGAATTTGAGACCTTCAAAATGGACCACTTAACAGCAACCACTCTTTCAGTCCTCATCTTTTTCTCTTTCAATTCACATTGTCCCCGCAACTTGTATTTTGCCCACTTGCTTCAGCTTCTCAACTGTAGTACAATACTTCTTCCTCCATTCCAATCTGGCTTTTGCTGCTCTTAGTGTGGTTGCTTTCTACGTCTTGGACGAGCTTATCTAAAATTTTAAAGTGAAGATTCCGTGAAAAGTTTCATTAACGCCTAATTTGTGTTGAGTAGATCTTCTTCTTGTCAGAATTTTTAATTTATGAGTTGTAGTGAGGGATTTATGTTGCCACAAACGAAGACTAACATAAGTCCTTTCATCTGCAAATGAAAATTTATGTGTTCGTTGCATTTTGTGCATATGACAATCATACTGAACGAGTACTAATGGAAATACCATCGAGTTGATCATGTCCGATTCTTTTATCCCTCATAAAAAAAATTTGTTAAATGTAAATTTTTGAGTTTCACTTCATGCGTTCTGTTTGAGGCAAAAGCCGTTTTGAATACATGTTAATTCATGTATACTTAATGGTTGATTTACTTGAGATATTATAAAAATAATAATATTGGGACGAATTTAATCACTTATTTTGCTGGCACTGAGAATCAAACCAAAAGTACCTACTTCTCAATTCTAAAATCTAAAACCAGTTAAGTTTAGCTTTAAGTGGAATTGAATCGAACTGATTTATTCGGGACAACCCTGAATGTCATCTAATAAGCACTGATATGGATACAACGGGAAACGAAAAATGCCAACATATGATTTTTAGAAAAGAAAAACACATATATGTAGATTTAAATTATCTTAACAATATGAATTCGTCTAATATATCTTTATATTTATACTTTTTAATATTAGACACAACACATGGCTAGTCAGACACTTGTTCGAGAAGCGTTCCAAAAGCATATCTCAAATGTCAAAAGTCTATAGATTATATATGAAATAGGATGCTTCACATAGCTTGTTAGATACATGTCCCAGATGATGGGATGTGTGTCAATATTCGACTCGACGAAATACATGTCGGACATGCCACTCCCATCCGCCCCAATAAGAGTGCCTGTCTTTCAAAACATATTATAAACATTTGTAAATCAAGTCAATACCTTTACAACAAATGATTTTTGTACCATATGAATTGAGTAATTAAATACATAGATCTTTATGATTTGTCAATAAGAAAAAAGAATCCCTATAGCTCCAGTAGTTATTATATTCTTGTCCAAAAATTATGTGCTTCATCTTGAGATTGTGATCTTTAACTGCCAGGCTAGCACTAATGGTTCTCTTGTACCCTCTATATCAATCACTATTCAAGATCCCGGGACCATTTGCACTCAATTATTTGCTGTAAAAAGAAGCAAAATATGTTAGGAATATATGAATGCATAAAGAAAGTTCAACTTTTAAGTTACTTTTTCAAGTCACAACTGACCTTAAGCAATTAATTCTTCATAACTAATGAAAGCCAACATTGAAAAGATTTTGCCATTCAGAATCCCAAGTTGGCAGCACTTGTGCTTGCTGCAGAAGTTGTAATCTTTCTCATTAGATTAAAGGGCTTTTGATGAAACAGAAGAATTTCGTTATGGTTTGCTTGATGCGTAGTATTAGACATTATTGTGCTAGAGCATGTTTGGTTGTGCTTATTTTGTCGAACTTGATTATGGAAGTTACTTCAGAAAAGTAAGCACAACAAACATGCTCGAACTGTCTAGTCCCGCATACCACGCGTGCAATAAAAGTAAAAGAAATTACATGTCCAGAAGAAGAATCATGATATACTTCTGTAATAGGCACAGAAGAGCTTCCTTCTTTTTGAGGCAACAACTGAGATGGATTCATTGCTATATCAACCCCACAACTTATGGCTCCTTGTTGCAGTTGATTATACTGTAAGCTTGATGGATTTGGGACTTGTAATTGCATCGGAAAACTGGCAATGTATGCAGGAATCTTCGATGAACAAATTTCGATCATTAGTTAGTTATAGAGGAAAGATTTTCTTATTTTCAGCTAATCAAAGTTTGTTCAATTTTCCAATTTCGCTAATAATACCTCTTTTGGGAAGAAATCATCGATGCTAAAGTCGAGCCTCGGATTTAAAGCAGCCAGTTTCATCGAAAGGAACTGCGAGTTTACAGCCAAAATTTTGTGCACTCTAATTAGTAATGAAACGAATGAGCAATCCGGATAATACTAATCGAGATCAAGACAGTCGAGCTACTTAGTCGTACCTCGACTTGTTTCTGTAATGACTGAACATAGTTGATGATTTCATCAAGCATTCCAGCCTTGCCAGTCACTTTGTGACAACCAGGGACTAAATCCTGCAGATACTTCATTTTCTTGCTGATTTTCTCCCTCCTTGCCTGTAAAATCATTAACCAATCCAATTTTCAGTTCGATTTTCTGTTCCGAGTATTAGCCTGATATTCGTGTATTTCATATTCTTACTCTTTCGGCTAAGCTGTGGCTGTCAGTGGCCTGTCCACGACGTGCCCTGACGTGGATATAGTCTGGCTTTTGGACGCTTTCCTTCGAAGAATTATTAGTTGAAGTTTCCCTATCAGTTTTCACTGTGATCTCTGATTGAACCTCTCCTGCTTCTCTTTCAGTCCCCTTGTCCTTACAATCATCTTCAACATCAAACTGCAATTTAAAAACCTCCTTAAATTTCTCACAAGAATTTGTAATACAAAAAAATGACAACATTAATGAAAACATAGTACAAAATCAAACCTCTGCTTTTCGTTTCCTGGTATTATTGGAGACAGTTCGATCTCTTTTGCTACTGATCTGATGATCGTGTTTTGTCATTGACGAGTTATTAGAAATGGCTGAATGGGAACCACTTGTGAGTTCAGGACAGGCAAATCCTCTTCCAAACGTAGGAAAACTCGGCAAATTGGTTTCATCCAAACATTCCTGATATTTCGCCAGCAGCATATTCGACATATTTTGGTGAAACAAAGGATTCATGTTAGCTTCTTGAGGTTGCAAATATTGTACTTGTTGCTGCTGATAAACGCGTTGTAAGAGAGCCTTTTGTCTTTCGAGGACGCTGATGTCGATGTCGATGTCCATGCCCAGGACCGAGCATTTCTCAGGCGACAAGGTGGTGGATTGTGCGCAGCGCAACATTTTTCGACTTGTTAGTGGATAGGGAGGTGGTTTTTGAGTGTTGAATTAATGTGGTGAGGAAATGAAGTACCTGAATGGATATATAAGGACTAAAGGAATAGAGAGAGAGCAAATGACAATGAAATCAAGAATGTAATGATGGAGAGAGAAGGGAGGGTGGGTGCGGTGGGGACTGGGAGCTGGGAGCTGGAAAGGGTGGAGGGTGGACCCCAACACCCATTGCGCCACCATGTGAGGTTGTTCGGTGAATGGTAAATGGTAGTACAAGGGGAGAAACTTCAGTGATGCACTAGAGTGTTTTTTAGAGCATCTCCAATATATTATGGTTTTGTTTGACCCACATTCTACATTCTTAACGGATGATTTAATATCATTTTAATCACACATTTTTTAATAAAATAATATTATACGTAAATTCAAAATTTTTCTTTATTTTTTAACAACACATTTTTCACCAATACACTATTTAAAAATATATTTTTATGAAAATAATATGGCTCAAACAAAGGCTATATAAATGCAAAATACTTTCTATTTTAGAGTCAATGGCTTAAAAATAAGGTCTAAGAAACTTTCTATTTTAATTTTTTTAAAATAAAAAGTGAGTTTGAATAGTCTCCAAATTTGGAGAGCCAATATTTAATAAGTTACAAATTTCGATACTTTACAATTTAATTTATTTAAATTGTTTGACCATAACGCATACTCCTTCCATCCCAATTATATATGATTGTTTCGTTTTTTACACAGATCAAGAAATCTTCTTTAATGTCATTGAAAAATTAATTTTTGTCAAAATCATTCCTAATTTACCCTTATTTAATTTTCAATATATAGTAGTAAATTATTGTTTGGAATTAGTAAAGATTTGAATAATTTAATTTGAAAAAGAAGAAATGAGAGTTATTCCATGTTTCCAAAAAAATGAGAAATATGTATATTTTGATAATTTCAAGAAGTTGACATATTAAGTGGGGAAAATTAAATAAGGGTATATTGGTAAATAAACAAAATAAAATATTCTAAATTAAAAAACATGCCTATATATTTGCGATAAAAGAGAAAGGAAACTCAAACTATATAATTGGAGTAGAGAGAGTAAAAATTTATGTTAAATAAGAGATGATAAGAAATTAATAAATGTTCATTGGAAATAACAAAATATAAAATTAAAATAGAAATCATAGTTGAAGTGCATAAAAAAATTAAATAATGCTACATGAACATAAGGCATTACATAATGGTCTAACATAGATGATGTGTCAATATATGTTTACTTGTTGAAACTTGAAATTATTAGACTTGTTTGAAATGAAATTTAGGATTTTATGAGACTTCACATAATTGAATCTGGAAAGAATTAGTATTAAATTTTAATTAATAAAGCTTTGCCATTTCACCCACTATTTTCTCCTATATTTACTTTTTAAGATACTTATTTTTCAAAATATAATTTTCTAAATTACTTTTTAGAAAAGAATATTCAATCAACGCATTTTTAAAATGCCGTCTTGCCTAATTCTTTTTTGTACAAGTACGTGAGAACATTTAGGCCCTGTTTGATTACACTATATTTTTCATGAAACTTGGAATTCGAATTCCAACTTTCATTTTCGGCCTGTTTGATTACCAAAATTTTTCAAGGAATTGATTTTCCATGATTTTCTAGATAGAAGTCGGTAAAGCATGAAATTCCACCTTTTATTTTCCCATGGGATAGGTGGTTTCTGGAATTCCACCTTTTTTTTTAATTGTTGGCAATGTGAACAAATTCTAGGAACAATTGTGAAAAATGATAGCCCTTAAATTGATAAATTCTATGTAAAACAAAGTCAAACGAACACCAAAATATAGATAATTTTTGGATTTTTTTTTTTTTGGTTGGCAATGAAAACAAATTCTAGGAACAATGGTAGAAGTGAATCTTCCTTAAATTGACAATTTTCATGAAAAACAAAGTCAAACGAATTTCAAAAGACACTTTTATTTCAACATTTTCCACTTAGAAAATTATATCAATCAAATACTATCAATTGACAATTTCCAGTAAAATAATTTCTAGGCAATTCAATTTCCTGAAATTCATTTTATTTCCACCCAAATTTCATCTTTGCAATCAAACAGACCCTTAGATAAAAAAAATATATTTTTTAGTAAATTTTGATAAAATGAATAGAATACGTAATTGAAAAATTGTAAGTCCCATAAAATATGTGATTAAAATTAATTATTTATTTTGAATTAAATTTTAATCCTCGTTTGTAGCTGAAACAAACAGAACCCAAACATTAGAACATGTTAAATATTAAAACTTAAAACACATTATTAATCCTCTTTACTAACCTAACCTTAAATAAGGTGGCCATTAAATAGTATATCAGCTCTACTTACTAAGCTCTTGTTTAGTGTAGTTAAAAATTAAATTTTTAGTAGATTTTAAAAAGTTGATAAATCCATGCTTGAAAAATTGATAAAAAATTATGGGTTCAATAAAATGTATGATTAAAAATAATTTTTGATTTTAACTTAAATTTTTATCAAAATTATAATTCACGCCAAACAAGGCTAATAGAATAGAATACACTATGCATCGATATTGAAGCAAACAAAATAAATATTAAAAATAAAAATACTCTTGTCTTTTTATAACAATGTAACTTTTAAATAATTTTGTATAATAGACACAAAATATTCAAGTAATGGGCATCAACATCAATTATATGCACAATCTTTTAGAATACTACAAAGGGATTGAAAATTTCACATGCTATGTTGTGTTGGATTGCATGCGTGAAATAAGTGGTTTTAAGATTATAAGTTTCTTACATGGGAATGTAAAAGAAAAAAACAAACAACAAATTGTTCCATTCAAATCTCATTTGGTACGGAACTATTTGGACCAAAGGAGATTGATATCATTAATAGGAATGTCGTGCAATCGAAGATTATCATATGCGATGTTGATGAGCAACTAAAGGCATACTCGACTAGTTGCTTGTTTTCTTTTACAAGGTATAATATTGATTCATGGTTTGCATCTTCACATTGTAAAGTATTAGATTGATTTGAGATTCTAGCACTAGTTCGAAGAGATTTTGGAAGAGAACCAAAGGGAGAAAATAAAAATCAAGAGGTAGGGAGAACTGAATGTAGGGGTTGTGGAAACCGTGGGCCAAAAGGGGGAGGACGATGAATTATCTTTCTCTTTTCTTTCATTGTCTTTTTTACTTATTATTTTACTGAAATCGTGTTCATCTATTAACCGTCAAGTGGATAAACACTGTTATTTGGAGATTAACTTTCTACAATTTAAAAGATTTAGGACAATTTTTATTTTATTTTATTTATTATTATAATTATTTTTTTTATGGGGGAACCCGCAGCCGCTACTTTTCAGGTGTGCACTGGGTAAATCTTTGGACTGATACAATAGTTTACAAATCACGCCAACTAGTTAAACCGCATTAGGCAAGTTAAAAGACTAAGGACAATTATTACTATATAAATACGTTAGAGACCAACTTATATATCACGTAGGTTAGGACATTCATTGCATTTTTCGATGGGAAAAAAAGTCAAAATTCTAATAATGCACAACTTTGTGGCCTCCAGCTTAGAGGACAACCTTACGGTCCTTACCATGCCTTGTGACAACGACGGTATCGTAAGGCAAAGGACCCATCGAGTAGTGGCCTCGGGACTGGCATAATTCCGACGAATATTATTTCCAATCATTTAGAATTGAGTTTTTCTTTGATCGGATATTTGCATATAACTAGTTAATCATTTTAATATCAGGGTACGTTTCACATATTGTATTAAATTGGTTAAGGATCAAAACAATCATATCTTATCATTATTCGGTGTTTGGTGCAATTAGTAGGAGCACTTATCCTCCTTTATTTAATAGTATAAAATTAATACCCTATGTGAGGGTGAGTTTAGGCCATATATTTATTTATCAACTTATGAATTAAGAAAATATTAGTTAAACTAAATTAAATAAATTTACTTACAAGTAAATAAGAACTAAGAATTTCACTTACAGCTAAAAGTCAATTATCTGTTAAAAAAATATATTTTAAATGAAAAAAGAGGTAAAGAAAATTGTATATATGTGAAACAATTCACTTATAAGTACAAATTGTGTATGAGTAAAAATTAACTTATAGGTTATAAAAATGCTTATATAAGTAGAAAAAGCACTTATAAGTTAAAAAAGTAACTTTATGACTAAAATATTTATTGAAAGTAAAAATGACTTATAAGATAAAAATTCACTTATATGTAAGAAATTGCATATAAGTAAAAGAATACTACAGATAATTATAAAAAAAAAAATCAATTATAAGTGAAACTACTTTATAACTAAAAATAAATAAAAAATTAAGTAAAAATTCAGTTATAGGTAAAAATTTACTTTTAAGTTAAAAATTATTTATAAGTTAAAATTGTTATTATAAAAAAAAAATCACCTTTAAGTTAAAAATTCACTTATATGTAAACAACTTGCTTGTAATTAAAAAATTCCCCAAGTTAAAAAAATTCTCTTATAAAAAATGCATAATTTTTAATTGCTTGTACAATCTTCTATTACGGCATAACACCAAACGTCATAATTTTATCCTCGTAATTCTCTCTTCCCTAATCCAAGGCTTTTGTTTCCCATTTTTGTTAAAAGAAGAATGAGAAAATATAGCCATTATGGGTCCCACACAAGAGATAGAAATTCAAATTTGGTGGCTTGATGTGATAGATAACGGTCACATTTTTCATTTTAATGGGGAAAAAATGGAAAACAAAAAGGGGCAATATTAATACGTCGTACCAAATGCATTCTATAATATCAAAATACAAATCAACCCTCCTTTTTTTTCTTGAGCAGATTTCACACGACTCTTTAAAAATTGTTAGCCTTGTTGAATTCCAAGTTAATTTCCTCTACATAAAAGTGGTGGAGAAGGAAAGAAAATAGATAGAAGACTATTGGATTAGGCTCATTTTCTTACTTTAGGGCTTGTAATCAATTTGGGTTTTCTTATTTTAAAGATTTTTTTGTTAACTATAACATTACCATTAATATTAGTACTTTCTGCATAGCCAATAAAATAAAATCACACGTGTTTTTAAAACTTTTGAACTAACTGAATATTAAATTTGTATCTTTTTTCT